GGCCACGGGCGGCGGCGGGGCTCAGCCGTGGCCCGCGTACTTGCGGGGCGCCCCGCACCGGGGTGCAGCAGTCCCTGCTCCGTGTGACGTAGGCTGAGCCTGGAGTAGGCCCCAGGCCAAGGGCCCCGGGAGGCCATCGCCCGGCCCCTGCGCTTCCACCCGGTGGAAACGCGCCCAGGGGTGGCCAGACGGCTTTTATTACTGTGCTGACGTGAGGGGAGAGCCCAGAAACAAGGCGCCGGGCTTCCAACTCGGCCCGCGCGCCGCGGAATCCGCACTGTAACTATTTTAGAGTTGGATGCCAGAGAAGGCATGAGCCCCCTCGTCGTCACTGTTTTATCCGTGGATCTCATTTTCAGTGGAGAAAGTGGAAAGTTACGGGGTAGTTTTCGAACTAAGTGTATATATGCACTTGGCTCTGTGTTTCATAACACTGGGAAGCTTCGGAAGGTAGGTTTTGTGCAAATGCTTGTTCTTGCTCGGGAGTGGCTTCGAGGGCTTGACAGTGTTTTTGCTTGTTACAGTATGCTCAGGCTTCAGAAGAGGCTCGCCTCCAGTGTCCTCCGCTGTGGCAAAAAGAAGGTCTGGTTGGACCCCAATGAGACCAATGAAATCGCCAATGCCAACTCCCGTGAGTTTTGGGAGGCTGTGTCCTTTCCCCCATCCTTTACCTTTTATCAGATGAATGGTGTGTTGACAGTTTTCCTAGCAGACCAGGAAAACAGCTAGACTGGGGGGCTCTGTAAAATGAATCAGAAAGGAAAGGCCAAAAGTTCTTATTTGCTGGGATGACAGTGTAGAAGTCTGTTGGGGTCACCTGTTAATATTGCTAACTATTTTTAGGATGGCTATTTTGCTTTATAACTGTGTGAAGGATTTAAGAAGTAGTATGTTGCCCCTGAAATGGAGATGGCCAAGGAAATTTGAGGAGGGGTCAAGAAATTCCCTGAAACAGACTGGGGAGCAGTAAGCTAAGAGACAGGAGAGGTCTGCTGCACCTTGTGGGTCAGCACCCTGGCGGGGAAACTTGTGCTGTAGTGGTTGGCGAAGGACTGAAGTGAGGTGCACATGGGCCTAGAAGTTTTAGGAGCCTGTTAAGAGTTTTGTCACACAAGAAATCTTTGCCATTACCAGGGAATTTCTTGACCTATGTGGGTTTGGAGCATTATAATGTATTCTTGAAAAAACACTAATTTTGATGGATGAAGACCATTAGCTATAGGTGAAGCATTTAGCTAACCAGTTCTTGAAGGACTAGGCCATATCTGCACATTATTTTGACCAACCCCCCCCCCCCAAATTTTTCAGTGTTCTATAAAATTGCTGAAAGTAGAAATGTCTTTGATGGAGATATCTGGTACTTCACCCATTTTTGAAACACTGGGTCAGGAAAACGAGCAATACCTGTACTCTGCCTCTCCTATTTGGACTCTTGAATTGTGGCTGGTGTTCTTGGGGCTGAGCCTAGTGTTGTGTTTTCCCAGGTCAGCAGATCCGGAAGCTGATCAAGGATGGGCTGATCATCCGGAAGCCCGTGACTGTCCATTCCCGGGCTAGATGCCGGAAAAACACCTTGGCTCGCCGGAAGGGCAGGCATATGGGCATAGGTAAGTACACTGTTCCCATTAAATACACCTAGAACTGAGATAGTGGGGATCCTGTTGTTTGTGCCGCGTGCCCCTCTCCCCCACATACTTAAAGTCCATCTTGTTTTGTGGTACTTTCAAAGTTGAGTAGATGTAAAGTGAAATAGAATCATCAGTAAGGTGGCGTATGCTACTTAAGATGGGATGATGTGTCG